ACATAATCAACAGACCATGTCATTTTCACATACTTTGGATCAACATTCCATACAATATATACATTCAGTATCTAATCCTCAATAGCCTTATGTATATTTCCAATTTTTATTTCTATTATCTATCCAGGTATACCATTTTTCCCAAACCGCATAATATTCCGAATCATCTTTTTCTTTTAATTCTAGAGTCAATTTATCCATTTCGGCACATTCATATATCTTCTGAATGATCAATTCCTCTGGTGGTGTACTGTGTTCCTTCCAGTATTGCGCAAACACAATTCTTGCCGCTGTTGTTATATGTAGAATCTAACATCTTATTTTTCTATCAAATTTTGTTTTAAGTATTTCCAGGAGAAATGTTTCCAGGTTTAATTCTATTTGACATTTTGTTAGCTCTTGTAGTCATCCTTGTATCTTAGTCCAGTACTTTTTTGCTTCAGGACATAGCCACCAAACATGAAAGAAGGTACCTTGACGATGATTACATTTCCAACATTTTGGACTTAGGTTCGAGTACATTTTAGCCAGCCTTGCTGGGGCTAGGTGCCAATGGTAGAGCATTTTGTACTGATTTTCCTTCTAAGCAGCAGATTTTGTTATAGTGTAATTTTTGTTCTAAATTCTTTCCCAATCCTCTAAATCTATATTATGTCCTATATTAGCCTATGCAATCATTGGTTCTTTCACTACCTCCTCTACTCTATCAAATTCTTATTAGAAATACAGTTTGGAAACACGCTCAAGGATAAATGATATGATGGAGTAAGTTGGCATATAATCAAAATGTGACTATAGCCAAAGGCCAGCAAGACAAAGAAATGTATAACTGATAGGGAAGACAATCTTCAAGATGCAACATCTGTTGCATTCTTGGGGATAGATAACAAAATTTGGTGACTGATAAATGATCTGAAAGTTCTTTTTAGTAGGAAAATTACATAGTAATCATCTGTCTGTTCTGGCATTATTTACAAAAAAGGAGAGATTAATATTTAACACTAGTATAAAAAAATTATACACATATATAAATGAAAGCTGAAGCAAGATTAGCAACACTAGACAAAAAAAAAGTTCTAAGCAAAGTACAATGCAGATATTTAAAGGAATCAGTTAACTGACCTGGCTGTATTTTCACGGAAGCCGCAACAAATGAAAACTTAACCTTGTCTGGGATTTATTGTGTAAATGTTTATTTTGATAGAACAAATGGTAGTAATAAAGGAAGTCCTTGATTTATAACTAGTCACTTAGTAGCTGTTCAAAGTTACGACTTGACTCGTGTTTCAAGTTCTGACAACACAACTCCCTTGTGATGTGACTGCGTTTCAGTTGCTTGGCAACTGGCCTGCATTTACTGCAATTTATGTTGGTTTTGCACAAACCTGAAAAAGAACCAGGTTATGTTTAATAAATTCAAGAAAGAAAGAAAGAAAGAAAGAAAGAAAGAAAATTAAAATCTCGGATGTTTTCCCGCGTCATTGTAAATAAGTTGGTTAAAATATTTAAAATTCTGGTTAAAATCCCAGCTTAAAATTTAAAAAAAAATTTAAGCTGGGATTTTAACCAGAATTTTAAACATTTTAACCAACTTATTTACAATGACGCAGGAAAACACCCGAGATTTTAATTTTTTGCATATGCACACCCGCGAAAACTTAAGAAGACATACACACACATATAGATATATAGATATATATATGGAGAAGAATTAGATGTGGTAGACCAGTACATATATGTAGTCCTCAACTTACGACCACAATTGAGGCCAACATTTATGTTGCTAAGTAAAACATTTGTTAAGTGAGCTTTGCCTCATTTTGCGACTTTTCTTGCCACAGTTGTTAAGTGAATCACTGCCACTGTTATGTTAGCAACTGTTCTGCCCCAGCTACGGACCCCAAAGAACGCAGCACACACAAAGTCCGTTCAAACCTTAGTTTACTGAATAAACCAATCTTTTACAACAACGGCTGTTAATTAATTGCATTAACAGCTGCCAAGAATTCAAACAATAACTGAAAGCTTACTATGGTTGGCAGAATGCCCAGAAGCAATTTGCAGGAAGCTGATAAGATAAGCAAGACAAGACATGAAGGTATGTGAACTAAGTTGCTCCCTGCAAATTGCTTCAGTTGGCGTTCCTCCTTAAATAGGCTGAGTGGCCAATTAGCCCCAAGCCTTACGCTCGAGGAGACCTCTTCCTGAGGAGCCACTCCTGCCTTTTGGCAGCTCTGCACACCCGTGCATTGAGAAGAGGCTCCTCCTCTTCGTCCTCTTCACTTAAGGGAGCTTCTGGAGGGTCTGAAGGCCCTGGCTGAATCCCCACCTCTGGCACCACATCTTCTCCAGCCTCCTCATTGTCTGACTCGAGTGCCAGCTGCACAGGCTGCTGGCGCAGCACCACACCAGCCTCCTTGCTGTCAGAATCAGCCACTTGCTGCACAGGCCACTGACGGGCCACAACAAATTCATTTAAGAACAGCATCGGTTAAAAATAGAAGTTCCAGTCCAATTCAGTGGTGGGTTTCAAATTTTTTTACTACCTGTTCTGTGGATGTGGCTTGGTGGGCGTGGCATGGCTTGGTGGGCATGGTAGGAGAAGGATACTGTAAAATCCACATTCCCTCTGTACTCCAAGGGAAGGATACTGTAAAATCTCCATTCCCTCCCCAATCCAGGAGAAGGTTACTGCAAAATCCCCATTTCCTCCCGATCAGTCCCCCTCCTGGGACTCGGGAGGCAGAGAATAGATGGGGGTAGGGCCAGTCAGAATTTTTATTACCAGTTCTCTGAACTTCTCAAAATTTCCGCTACAGGTTCTCCAGAATTGGTCAGAACCTGCTGAAACCCACCTCTGACCCAATTGGCAAAAAAAAAGCTCAGGACTATATTGGTTGGAAACATGTGGAAGAGGCCTTTATCCTGCAGTGACTAGACAATGGATAAAATCATGATGATGATGTGGTAGGAAATGCAGGTTTCCAGTAAAACTCACTCCACTTAACAACTACCACCAAAAAAAAGTTGTAAAATTGGGTCTGGTCATGTGGTGACTTACTCTACCCCCATCTGACTTACTACCTTAATTGCCAGATTCAATTATGATCGTTATGATCTTCTGGGGGCAGGCAGTGAGATTTGCCCCATTCTACAACTTTTGCTACAGTGGTTAAGGGACTCACCATCACTCGTAATCAAAAGTTGTAAAATTTGTCCACTTCCCCATTGACTTTGCTCGTCAGAAAGTCTCACAAAAGTGACTCTACGACAATCCACTGTCATAAAGATGAGTCAGTTGCCAAGCCTCTGAATTTTGAACACGTGACCATGGGGCTACAACAGTTGTAAACGTGAACACTGACTAAAGCCTACTTTTTTCCATTGCCATTGTGAGTTCAAATAGTCACTAAATGAACTGTTGTAAGTCAAGGACTACCTGTATCCATAGGGGACAAACATCAATGCAGGCACACTGTCTTAAGCTCTTTTGGGTGGAATAGGGCTCGGTTATGGCCGGTACCAATTCTTTTATCAGCAAACATTGAAAGGCTAAAAGTCTGTAGAGATTCTCAGTCATCCAAGTCATGGTTGTCCCAAAGGTGCTTTTTCAGGAGGCAACTGGAATGTCTTGTTTTTTCTTTTGAAGACGTTTCACTTCTCATCCAAGAGGCTTCTTCGGTTCTGATAGGATATTGAGGAATGGAAGGATTTATATTCCTTGCAGACAGCTGGTCATTTGCATCCTTTTTAGAGGACTGCAGAAAAAACAATGGCTACCAACCTGCCTTCCATTGAGGACGTGTATACTGCATGAGTGAAAAAGAGGGCTGTGAAAATACCTACAGACCCCTCACATCCTGGACGTAAACTGTTTCAACTCCTACCCTCAAAACGACGCTATAGAACATTGCACACCAGAACAACTAGACACAAGAACAGTTTTTCCCCAAATGCCATCACTCTGCTAAACAAATAATTCCCTCAACACTGTCAAACTATTTACTAAGTCTGCACTACTATTAATCTTCTCATTGTTCCCATCACCCATCTCCTTCCACTTATGACTGTATGACTGTAATTTTGTTGCTTGTATCCTTACGATTTATATTGATATTGTTTCCTGATTGCTTATTTGTACCCTATGACTATCATTAAGTGTTGTACCTTATGATTCTTGATGAACGTATATTTTCTTTTATGTACACTGAGAGCATATGCACCAAGACAAATTCCTGTGTGTCCAATCACACTTGGCCAATAAAAATTCTATTCTATTCTATTCTATTCTATTCTATTCTATTCTATTCTATTCTATTCTATTCTATAGGGTCCTTGAAGCACTTGGAGGTTTATCTGTGTCCTCAGGGTCACCTGAGTAGCTCTCCTGGTTCCTGTAGTCTACAATTTTTTTTCCTCTGGAAATCCTTTCCTACTTCCATACGATTCAAAGGATGCTCATCCCAAATTGGGAATCATCCCCTTTTAACTATACAATTTGGGATGAACAGCCCTTGAATGGTGTGGTAGGACACAGATAAACCTTCAAGTGCTTCAAGGACCCTCTAAAACAGTGGTCACCAACCAGTGGTCTGTGGACATTGGTGGTCCACGAGAAAATTTTGATGGTCCGCAGAAAAATTATTTACGTTTTTTATATTGCACTAAATACTATTTATCTTTTTTTTAAATTCGTATTAGTGGTCTGCGGGATTTAAAATTACGAAGTTAGTGGTCCCTGAGGTCCAAAAGGTTGGTGACTCCTGCTCTAAAAGGATGCAAATGACCAGCTGTCTGCAAGGAATATAAATCCCTCCATTCCCCACTATCCTGTCAGAGCTGAAGAAGCTTCTTGGATGAGAAGCGAAACGTCTTCAAAAGAAGAAAGTACAGTTGTTTCCTGAAAAAAAGTACCTTTGGGACGTTGAAAGAGGCGGATAAATTTGCATTTCCAGGGCAGCGGTGGATCCTCCCTTTTCCGGAGGTCGCTTCAAGGAAGATTGGCTGAACGAAGCGAAAACGAAACGACTTTCTCCCTGCTGTAATTCCCACCCACCCTCCGAACGACTCGTGGTTTGGTGCTGATCCCGGAGAGGCGCGAATATGCCCAAACCCATCCGTCAATGCCTGGAGGAGACGCTGAAGGATCTGACGGAGGATGAGCTTCGAAAGTTCAAAGCGAACCTCCACGAATTCCCGGTTAAAGACGGCTACGACAATATCCCCCGAGGACGGTTGCAGAAGGCGGACGCTCTGGATCTGAGCGATCTCCTGTTCGCCTATTACATCGATTACGCCGTGGAGGTGACAGCCGCGGTGCTGAGGAGGTGCCAATGCAAGCCTCAAGCCGAAAAACTGGTGGCTCTCTCTGGAATTGGTAATGACGGGGGGATCGGGGAAGGGTGAATTTGGGGGCGATCGAAGCGCCTCGCTTGATCCAGATCGACAAGGCGGGCAACTGTTCCGGATTGGTAGCAGAGGAGTAATTTGCAGGATCTTGCCCCGTGGCCATTCTTGTTGCAAACCGAAGAGCCAAGTCTTCAGAAATCACCCTTTGAAAACTTTTTCTGGCAAAACGTATTCAAAAATGAAACAACTACTAATCTATCAGGCGTACTTTTCCTTTGGCGCCTAAGGTTGTTGTTTTTTTTTTGTCCTGCTGTCTTCCTTCTATTTCTATAGAAAACATTAAAATGATAGGTGTTCAAAAAATCGTGTATAAAAGAAACACATAGCAAGGTGTGCATCTTCTTCCTAAAATAGCTAAAAATGCTATAGCTTTAATAGATTTAAAAAACCATCATGGCTTCTGCTTACTTTTCTTAATGTTTCATGGGCTCCCTTTCTTATTCTCACATATTTTATAATATTCTTCCTTGGATGTTTACGGCCCTTGCTATCTTCTGCAGTGCTTACACAATACAGATATTTGTCATTAACTTATTTAGTATTATCCAATCATTTCTTAACACATTTGAAAAACAAATTCTTTTTTTTTAACCTTGTAAAGTCTCACCTTTTTATTTTCACTTATTACATCATTTCCTTTCTATTTATGAACTATGGAACTTTAGCTGGCTTTTTAAAAATTTTAATCTATTCTCCTTCTGAAAAACGTGCCTGTAAAATTTGTGAACAAAATTGCCTCAGAAAGAGCTCCCAGAATCCTTAGTGATGGCCGCTCTGGATGTGGCATTTGGGATTTTAAAGCATTTTTAAAACATTATTTTCCTTTTCTGAAGCTTGTAGTTCAATTGTCAGAAAGACGTACTCACGTCTTACTCACGTACAATCTATACATTACTTGAACATAATAGTCTCAATGAAAAATTACATACATATTCGCTGTGCTTGCTATCACTCATTGATAAATAACTGATACAACAGTAATGTGAAATGCAATTTGATTTCCTAGAAACTTTAAGCAGTTTCATGTATAATATTTAAAAATGAGAAGTTTCTCTCCCTTTCAGGGAAAAAAAAAGATTTATTCCTGTAATTGTCAGTTACAGTAGGGGACAAGAGCTGGCATCTTAGGTAGGAATATCTGGGTTTTTTTCCCAAGCCATTTTCCATATAATGTAAGCTGATCAAGGCAGAGCAATTCAGATATGTTTCCACAGGCAGGAAGTCAAACTCAAGCAATCAGCCAGCATGCACTAGGAAACTGTTTTCACATCCTGTTTCTCCTCCCAGTGACTTCTATTTACTACTTCCTCTAAAAAACTTCTTCTGAGTTGGTACACGTACTGAAGATGTTTGTTTTATGCTTCTTAAAGTGTTAGAATGTCTTCTCGCAATTCTAGGATTTGGGAAGAACCTAAAATGCTGTTAGAAACCATTAACTTGCTCTCCCTATTCCCAAAGCCTAGAGCAGTATTTCTCAACCTATGCAATTTCCAGATGTGTGGACTTCAACGTCCCAAATGCCACAGTCAGAATGGCCTTCACCGAGGATTCTGGGAGTGGATGATCGCACACATCTGAAAGCTGCTTAGGATGAATGCTAGCCTTGAGGCAAAAGGAAGGAGTTTGCAGCTTGTCTAGGACTATCCTATGAGCATATACAGAGTTCTTCTTTTCTTGTCATTTTTTAACAGGGAATCAGCCATCTAGTTCTCCTCAACAGCATTTCATTGACCAGTTCAGGGAGCAGCTGATCCAGCGAACTGCAACAGTGGAACAGGTGTTGGATAAATTGCACGGTTCCATCCTAAATGAAGAACAATACCAAAAAATCTGCTCACAGGAAACTAATCAGGCGAAAATGCGAGAGCTTTATAAGTTAGTTCCTGGCTGGAACCACCTGTGCAAAGATCAACTGTACAATGCACTGAAGGCCATAAATCCATATCTCATCAATGACCTAGAAGCAACAAGGAAGATGGGAAATTAAATGATTTTGTGCTGCCCCACTCATTCACACAAATACACGTAAGTGTAGTTTAGAGAGTTTATTAATGTTCCCCAGCAATTCCCTTCACCCAGCCTCGGAACTATCCCAAATAAATCCAGCCACAAGCAAGCCAAGGTTAGTCCACAAGGCAATCGTCAATAGTCCATAAAACAATGGGAAGCAGCTCCAACAAATAAGTCCACCAAACAAACTTAAATCTACCAGGCCAAACTGAAATACACCCACAAGAGCTCACTTGGCAAGAGAAGTTCAGAGTCTCCAAAATCCTAAAACCAAACATGTTGTTCCTAGCAATGCCTCCCTCTGCCTGCTGTGATAAATATCTTTCCAGTGCAGCCCATCAAGATGGGCGGGGTATTCTCTCAAATAATGTGGCAGATCTCTGTTGCTCTTATCTTTTCTCTGCACTGCATGCTCTCAGATCCACCACAAAAGGCAGCTCCTCCTCCTCCTTTTCATTCACCATCTACCCCTGCAAGCTGTCCCCAGCCAAAACCCTCTCTTTTGGCCAGTGTTCAGTCATTAACCTAGTTCCTGATGTGCCAAGAATGAGCTCACCTTCTCTTCAACTGACCTCCAAGAAAGAATCTGAGGAGTCATCCAAGAGAAATATCACACATTTCAGGACTCATAAAAAATAGCTCTATGAAACTCCAACAGACCATACTTTAACATGTCTCTCCCCATGCATCCATTTTGATCCATACTGGGATAAGAAACTGAGATCCTCAGATACATTCAAAACCTAACCAGCTTGCTGCGTGGAAGAAATAGTAGGAGATCATCTACTACTGTAAGAGATAGAATGATACAGAAAGACTGGCAACCGAATATTAGATCCTACCTTGGGGTATCCTCTTCTGGGGAGAAAATTATTGTTTAAACTTACCTCATTCTATTCCATGGGCAACTGATCAATCATAGATCAAACTGATAAATCCATATATTTTGACCAGCTTTTCATTTCTTTGGACTCCCTTGTTTTATGAATATGAAAGTTCATATATCCTTCTTGAGATGTTTTACATTTTTAAGCAACTTTTACTTCAAAATCACAAGCACAGACTATTTGGGGATCTATATATGGATTCTAATGTCTAGAAACAAAAAAATATTCTGCTTTCCTTTAGTGTTTTACTATGTTTCTCCTAGAATAAAGCAAAGTATGATTCATCAATCCAGCCTGAATAAAACAGCTGCACTTACATCTTCCTTGGATATGTTCAGTACTGAAATTGATCTCCTGAGGACCTCACCATCTTTACAAATGCACGGTAAAGCTTCTTGGGTTGTGCTAAAAGAAAATTGCTGATTCCATACAGATATTATAGGCTGATTTTAGCACTGACACAGCATTGATTGTTCTTGTCGATCACTTGTAGCAGATCGAGAATGGAGATGATACCACTAACCTGGCTCTCCTTGACACTTCAGCAGCTCTCCATGACATTGATCATTTATGGTCATTCTGGCTCAGTTTCAAGGCGTGGGGTTGTTAGGATGGTATTATAATGTAATGGGTTCCAACCAGGTAAAGCTTAAAGTCCTTGATTTGCAAAGTGCTTTGGGACTGAGGCTCTCATCCCTCTTATTTAACATCTGCATGAAGCTGTTGGGAAGATCTTTCATTGGTTCAGAGGTCCGAAGCTAGGTCACGGAGCTACTGATGGGCTATCTGCTAAAACAGAGCAAGGCTATGGCATACACCTGAAAGAAAATCGGGAAGCCAGTAATTGTGGAGCCTGACTGGCAAGAACAAAGAATGCTTATTCGCAGAGAATATGCATGTGTCAAACTTGTATTTAACTCTGGGTGATTAAAAGGATTGATAAAAGTACCAAAAGTTAGATATCCTGCATACCACAGCTAGAAGTTAGGAATAGGGATGGCCTGGAGCAAACAGAATGTGTATTAGATAACTCCTGGAGCATTCATTAGCCAAGGCTTAGGAATAGAGACAGCTAGAAACCAATAGAACAATTGTTAGATCATTACTAAAATGTTTATTATATGATAGTTCTTATATATCCTGCCTTATCCCGCCTTCTGCTTTAGTAAAATTGTATAAAGATTTCCTAATTCTATTGTTCGGGGTTCCTAGGCATTTTCTGACCAGGACCAAAAACCATGTCTTGGAGCCCTTCAATAAAAGGAAACAAAACCTGCACCTCTGCTGTTCTTCATTGGCTTTGGCACAAGGCTCAGACCCAAATTGGGGACAACATTACGACTGCCAATTCCTCTCCCTCTTGGGCAATTCCACCTCAACTCATTTTCCATGAGGGACGGACAGACAATACACTGGACCCTGTGGGGATATTTTTTCAGGAATAAGGCAACTCTGATTCCGTCCTTCCTGGAACACAGAAAGAGAAAGACACGTACAGAGATCTGGGGGCCCTTGATAAACCAGTATTTTATTTATTTTTATTTGTCAAACACGTATAAGATTACAGATATAAACATGATTATGAATACAGGATAAGGATACGAATAAATGGGGACAGTAGGACAGGGAGGGTAGGCATGTTAGTGCTCTTATGCATGCCCCTTACAGACCTCTTAGGAATGGGGTGAGATCAACAGTAGACAGTCTAAGGTTAAAGTTATGGGGGTTTGGAGAAGTAACCACAGAGTCAGATAGTGCATTCCAGGCATTGACCACTCTGTTAGTGAAATCGTATTTTCTGCAATCGAGTTTGGAGCGGTTTACCTTGAGTTTGTATCTATTGTGTGCTCATGTATTATTGTGATTGAAGCTGAAGTAGTCATTGACAGGTAGGACATTGTAGCAGATAATTTTGTGTACTATGCTTAGGTCAGACCAAAGGCGGCATAGTTCTAAATTATCTAATCCCAAAATTTCAAGCCTGGTCGCATAAGGTATTCTATTGTGAGCAGAGGAGTGGAGGACTCTTCTCGTGAAATACCCCTGGACTTGCTCAATTGTATAAATGTCCGATATACAATGCGAGTTCCAGGCAGATGAGCTGTATTCGAGTCTAGCAAAGGTTTTGTATGCCCTAGTTTGCCGTACAATATTACCGGAGAAGAAGCTTCACATTATTAGGTTAACAACTCTTAATGCCTTTTTGGCAATGCTGTTAAAGTGAGCTCTGGCACTTAGATCATTAGAGATGAGTACTCCAAGGTCCTTGACAGAATGAAGGTCATCTATGAGGTTGTATCCACCCAGTTTGCATTTGATGTTCTGATTTTTTTTTGCCAATGTGTAAGACGGAGCATTTGTTGGTTGATAATATTGACCTGGCCCAGGTCCTCTTCCAGGCTGAAGCTGCCTTGCAGAAAAGGCCTGGACTCACTCCACATCTTGCAACCCAGGGTGTCCAGTGAGAGAGCGCTTCTTGCTTGGCTTGTCCTGCAGCATGAGAAGAAGGCCTGCATGCTGGTATCTTGGGTCCAGGCTGGGATTTCCTGAGAACAGCCTTTGCAGAGTGGGCTGCGGCACCTCATAGGAGGTTGGGTTATTACCTTGGTAATAAATATTACTTTAATAAAGTAATATTACTATTACTTTGGAAATAACCAAACCTAATTATCAAAGTAATAACTGAACCTCCCACAAGAAAAACAGTGTAAGAACTCTACTCAGACAAGCCTAAGTGTAGAGAAAAGTAAAGTCTTACACTTAGAGAAGAAAAACCAAAAGTACACATATAGACTGGGTGAAACCAGGCTTAATAGCAATAAATGTGAGAGTGATCTTAGTGGACAACCAATTAAATATGAGCCAACAGTGTGCGGTGGCAGCCAAAAAAGCCAATGCAATCCTAAATTGCATTAATAGAGGGAAATAATCAAGATCAAGGGAGATACTAATACCACTTTATAAAGCCTTAGTCAGACCACACCCAGAGTACTGCATCCAGTTTTGGTCACCACACTATTAAAAAAAGATGTTGAGACTCTAGAAAAACTTCAGAGAAGCGCAACCAAATGATTAGGAGACTGGAGGCTAAACATACAATGCAGGAACTGGGCATGGTTAGTCTAGTGATGAGAAGGACCGGGGGGGGATATGATAGCAGTATTCCAATATTTGAGGGGCTGCCACACAGAGGAGGGGGTCAAACTATTTTCCAAAGCATCTGAAGGCCAGACAAGGAATTATGGATGGAAACTGACCAAGGAGAGATTCAACCTGGAAATGAGAAATTTTCTGACAATGAGAACAATCAACCAATGGAGGAGCTTGCCTTCAGATGTTGTAGGAGCTTCATCACTGGAAGCTTTCAAGAAGAGAATGGACTGCCATCTGTCAAAAATGATGTAAGGTCTGCTGAGCAGGGGGTTGGACTAGATCAGTGGTGGGTTGCCCCCAGTTTGCACTGGTTCTATAGAACCAATAGTAAAACTGGCGGGAGGCTCCGCCCACCAACCCTGACTTCATCAAAATGCTTCTGCGCATGTGCAGAAGCTTCTGCACTTGCGCAGAAGAGCGCGCATGCGCATGCACGTGAGCGAAGCAAGCACGCCCACACGGCCCCGCTGCGAACAGGTAGTAAAGGTAAGTAGAACCCACCCCTGGACTAGATGAACTACAAGGTCCCTTCCAACTCTGTTAATCTGTAAGCAAAACACATTGCAGCAACCCTGAATAGAAGAAGGAAGCAGCTAATTGTACAACATTTTCCAACAAAATGGATATCCACGCAACTTCATTAACGCTGCCCAGAGACATCTTTTAGGGAAGATGAGTGGCATACGAACTCAATAACAAAATAAAAATTTAAAAAGTGCCTGACCACTCAACCCAATACCACACTCAACCAACACTAGCTATAAAAAGGATAACATCACCATATATCAAAAATATCTCAGAAACTGCCAGCGGACAATTACAAGCACATGGAATCAGCATAGCACACAAACCGACTAAAGTCCTCCAAAATATCCTAAGTCAACCAAAAGGCCCAGCAGCCTCAGAAGAAAAAACAGGAGATATCAACAACAGTGTGTAAAAACCGCAACAGCCACTCCAGGGACTAACAGGAGAAGAGCAACATTATGAAAACTTTCATTTTGCAACATATGGACAGATTTAAGCATAGTTTCAAATGGGAAATTTTGATCATCTTAGACCAAGCCAAGTCCAAAAACCCCGCCCACATCTATTCTCTGCCTCCCAAGTTCCAGCTGATCGGGAGGGAAAGGGGATTTTGCAGTATTCTTCCTCTGGAGTGAGATGGGAATGGAGATTTTGCAGTATCCTTCCCCTGGAGTGGGGTGGGAATGGAGATTTTACAGTATCCTTCTCCTGCCATGCTCACCAAGCCACACCCACCAAGCCATGCCCACAGAACCAGTAGTAAAAATTTTTGAAACCTACCACTGCATCAAAGGGCAGATAGACATAAACAATATATACATATTGTACAAAAGAGATAACCAACAAACCAAAAAAAGAAAGAAAGAAACAAAAAGACCAAAACATCTCTACACCAGCAATCAATACCCAGATGAGAATATTAATATGAGATTAATACCAGATTTACAATCAAGAAGTAAGCAATAGTACAATCAAGTTACTGCCAAACAAGCTAATAACAGCCCAACCAAAATCCTCAAAGACTACTCCAACACTGACAGAAGAAGCCACTATAATATAAAATGAGACCAATCCCTACTCCCCGCTAGCACTGATGATGTTGCGCAATGAAACAGCTCACCCAAACAAACACAATAACAAAAAGAAATTTAAGTGAAGATGCTTGTTATAAGTGTGCCTGCTCATGATTTGTAATTTTTTAGAACAATTACAGCAGGGGTGAAATCCGGCAGGTTCTGACAGGTTCTGGAGAACAGGTAGCAGAAATTTTGAGCAGTTCAGAGAACCAGTATCGGAAATTTTGAGTAGTTCGGAGAACCAGCAAATACCACTTCTGGCTGGCCCCAGAGTAGGGTGGGAATGGAGATTTTGCAGTCCTTCCCCTGCCATGCCCCCCCTGCCACGCCCACTAAGCCACACCATGCCCATCAAGCCACAGCACATCCACCAAGCCACGCCCACAGAACCGGTAGTAAAAAAATTTGGATTTCACCACTGGATTACAGTTGTCAGAAAACAGAAGGCAATGGGTTGAAAGAATTATTTGGCATTGCAGAAGATATTTAATTCCATGCATTGGAAAATAACAATTAACAGCAATTAAACATTTTAATTATTGATTCAAATAAAAAAAAGAATTATTCACCTTCAACATTCTGATCAACACTTTACTATAGTCATCATAAAGTTAAAACTAAATAAAAATTTCAAGAATCAACTTGTACATTATGTCTACTTCCTTGAAATACTATAAATTTAGCATTTTTTAACATTACTTGGGTTTCTACTCATCCTACTAAAGTACAGGCAGTCCTCTACTTACAACCACAATTCAGCCCAAAATTTCTGCGGGAGACATTTGTTAAGTTAGGTTTGCCCCATTTTATGACTTTTCTTGCCACAGTTGTTAAGGGAATTATTGCAGTTGTTAAAGTAGTAACAGGGTGGTTGCGTGTCAGAAGGTCCCAAAAGTTGATCACATGACCCTGGGGCACTGCAACTGTCATAAATATGAGTCAGATGTCAAGTGTCTGAATTTTGATCATGTGACCATGGGTATGCTGCAATGGTCATATATGTGAAAAATGATTTTATTTCACTTTTTTTCAATGCCCTTGTAACTTCAAACAGTCATTAAACAAACCATTGTAAGTTGAGGACTACCTGTAATTAGGGAGCCATTGCCGAGGGTCCCCATCTACCAGAAGGTAAATGGGAGGGGGCCTAACAGCGAGTGTTCTTTGTAGAAGACCTGTTTGGAAAATGTTGGTCCCTGAAGCAAAAAAATTTACAGTAACAGTAACAGAGTTGGAAGGGATCTTGGAGATCATCTAATCCAACCCCCTGTTGATGCAGGAGACCTGTACTAGGGATTCAAACCGCCGAACTGCCGACCTTTCTGATCGACAAGGTCAGTGTCTTAGCCACTGAGCCACCTAGTCAGGCAGACCCCTATTGTCATGAACTGCTGAAGCAAGTGAAAACAAGGCCTCCAGGCTTTATTCTTGGTACTATTATTGGAGCCTATTATTCTTAGTACTGCATTAAATTGGAGATTCAGATTTAGATTTACTATTTTGATTATTATATAGATTGTG